AAAAAAGAGGGTACAAGATCTGGTAAATATTTTGGTTTTAGGATTGCAAGAGTTGGCAAAGCATCTTCATCATAGTTTTGATAATGTTATACATCTTCAGCTCCCCCCATCCTAAACTTTTCTCTAAATTTTATTGGTTAAATGTTAATTTTAATGTCTAAATTTTAAATGTTTTAAAACTAATTTAATCATTTCTTTCACCTCTCAACTCTAAGATATGCACAAAAAGTATTTTTCCCTAAACTAGTTTCGTTCTCTAATCTAAATTTTTACACAGTTCAATAAGTAAATTAGTGCAAGGACTGAACTACATAGTTTAATCCTCTAATATAGATTTTTATGATTAGTTGTATAACTAAATTACTGTAAGGGCTGAAAAAGTATAAAATTTAAAATTTTAAGACTAAAATTAATATTTAACTAATACTCTTTTTATCATCTAATATCATTTGTCTTTTCATTAAAAAAAAAAAAAATTTCTGTCTTCCAAACGGTGCGGTTATAGCTTGTCACCAAAATCTTTTCACATGTCCTACGTGGCTACATTATATAATATAACAGTCTTTGAAATAACTGTTTTGATTTAGTTAATAATTAATAGTTAATATTTAATTAATAATAATTATTATTATTTATAATTTAAAATAAGATTTGTTAACTTATGTCTTAAAAATACAAGTTAGAATATTTTTGTATTATTAATGTGTATAAAAAAATATAAAAATTGATATTAAATTTAGTGTTAAGTATCAAGTGAATAAATTTAATTGGATAATTAATAAATTAAAAATTAATTTTTATTTTTTCAATATAAATTTATGATAAAAAAATATATTTAATGCATTTTTAAATTTAGGGTCCAAAGTTAGCCAAATCCTTTAAAATATAAATCATTATATTAACATCAGCAGCCGGTGACTATTGAAATTTTATTTAAATTTTATTGGTAAAGCATCTAGTTGTCATTCACAGATGGGTGGGGGATTGCCAAAGGAAAGTTATCTTCCCACGTCGTCTGTAATTATTATAGTAATAAATTTTAATAAATCCACGATCTAACAACTAGGTAGTTATTATTTTACTTGTTTTTACTTTTAATCCAGAAAATGTGTCACATAACATATTAATTTCAAAACTTGAACTCATTTAAATACAAAAATTCATAGTTTCAACACATAATTTCTGGTTCATCTTATTTCTGTATTTTTTTAGTCTTTATGTTATATAACTTAATCTGTAGTACCTTAATTTCTTGTGTATATTATATCTAATTAATTTTACTTTCTTATTTTGTTTGACAACCTAAACTTAAAATCAAGAATCACACTTACAACACATATTTGTTCAAAATTCTGGACTTGACAGAATTTTTCAAGAAGTTCCAAGTTTACCCAGCATGTCTGCTCCTTCTTCTATCTCATTCACTTTTTGGTCCAGCTTTCACAAAATAGAAGAAATGGCTTAAGTTAGTGTTAAGGATACATACTCCCATCAAGTAGGTTTTAATTGCTTGTCACTTGACAAAATTATGGCTTAGGACACTTGTTATCACATAAATAGGTTACTAGACACTAAACTCCACTAATCTAATTCTTAAAACAGACACCTGGATTGTAATATGATAAAATAACATGGAACCATAATTAACAATTGCTATAAATTTATCCTCAAAAAAAAAAAAAACAATTGCTATAAATTAGTCCTTAATTTTGTATGTAATTAAGGACTCAATTTTTAACTAATTGCATATAAGGATTGGAATATCACATAAGTGCTTTATACGCTTGTTTGTGTGTGTATATTTATATTATGATTTTAAAGTTTATGATTTAGAATTTTAGGGTTTATAATTTAGGTTAGGGTCTAGGTTTAAAGCTGGGGGTTTAGAGTTCTATACAATTGAGCTTCAATCTGGTTTGGTTGTTAAAAATAACTGTGATTGTTTGCTGATGGAACAACTGATATTAATTTGAAATGAGCTTATGGTTAATATTGCCAAACACTCTATTCAGCTATTTAATTGGAAAAATGCTATAGGTTAATATAATCAGCCAGACCATACATAAACTAAACTTGTTTTATATGTTGTCTAACGGTATAGTCTTATTTTGATCAATTTATCCCTCATTAACTATTTCTTCTATTTCATAATATACGTGGTGATACTTTATATATATTCTACATGAATACTTTCATGGTAAAACTATACATTTGAGATATATTCAAAGTTAATAAAACAGCATTTATTTTTGAAAGTAGGGCATATATTTTTAGAAAATGTTATAGTTATAAAGTCATATGACATTATAAGATTACAATATGATGTGTCGTTATATAATTAACTCTTTTCATTTAAGGTCCACTCATGATATATTATTTGTATTTACTCATTTAATGTCATATTATAATTGTATATTTATAATCCTATATAGCATTATACCTATAGCATTTTTGTATATTTTAAGCCTTTCAATGAAAAAACATGTTTTTATTTGTACCAAGTAGTTTGATTACTATATTACTACTAATTATGTCTTAAGTTGAAAACATCAGGAACCTTAGACAATTGAAGTACTTAGACAACTTCCATCAGTACGATCTTCACTTCAAGAATCACTGTGAGAAAGGAAAGCTACCAAACTACGTGGTGATTGAGCCAAGATATTTCGATATACTAACAGCAGCGGCGAACGATGATCATCCCTCCCACGATGTATCTGAGGGTCAGAAATTTGTGAAAGAAATCTACGAGGCACTAAGAAAAAGTCCACAATGGAATGAAATCCTATTCCTTATTGTATACGATGAGCATGGTGGCTTCTATGACCATGTCCCCACACCCACAGGTGTACCCAGCCCTGATGACATCGTTGGTCCTGCACCATATAACTTTAAGTTTGATCAGCTTGGTGTTAGAGTTCCTGCCATAATAGTTTCTCCTTGGATTGAACGCGGAACAGGTAATCCGTCTCAAACTTCTATTTACATCTTTCACAGTTATGTAATTAATTATAAATTAAATTTTGACAATTTTAAAGATATGATATGATACAATATATAAATTGATATAATAATTCCGATATGAAATAACTAATGCAAGAATATGTACTTCAACTTCAACATGATACAAACTTATTAATTTAAGGTGAGGTTTTGTTTAAGGGAAGCAGAGAGGAGGGGATGAATTTTTTTTTTGTTTTTCTTTTTAGGTTTGGAAAGAATGTTCCTCTCCCCTCGCCTCATTTGAGAAGGAAATTTTTTAGGGGAAGGAGAGGTTAAAGTTAATTAACAAAAGTTAATATATTGCTGAAAATGCATACAGTGTTGCACGGGCCATCAGGACCATTCCCTTCCTCAGAGTTTGAGCATTCCTCTATTCCAGCAACTGTTAAGAAGATTTTCAATCTAAAAGAGTTCCTAACAAAACGTGATGCGTGGGCTGGAACTTTTGAGAGTGTTGTCAGTAGAAGCAGTCCGAGAGCAGATTGTCCAGGTAATTACTTTGAGGCTTGAGCACTTTCTTATAGGGAAATTAAGTAAAACTTTGCACCCCTTTTCAGATGTGCTTAATTATGAAATCATATATCTATATTGTATTTGTAATCATGTTGTGACACCTTAAACCTCACATCGAGAAGAAATTGTGATTGTGAGTGATGCTTAATTGTCATGATCAAACCACTAGTACTGTGTTAATTTGAACTTAAGCTTCTGAACACTCGTAAAACCTCAGTCCAAAAAATTGTTATGCTAGTAGCATGTTTTGTTTTACATGTACTCGTTTGTCATAACTTGAAATCATTTTTTGTTGCATATATGACAGTTACATTGCCTGAACCTGTCAAAATGCGTGATTTTGATGCGAAAGAAGACTCAAAGCTGAGTGATTTTCAAGAGGAATTGGTTCAAACTGCAGCAACATTAACTGGAGATCATAAGAAAGACATTTATCCCTTCAAAATTGTGGAGAACATGACAGTATCCGTAGGGCACAAATATGTTGAAGATGCATTCAACAAATTTTGCGAAGAAGGCAAGAAAGCAAAAGGCGGTGGCGAGGCAGACAATGGAGTCGCTTCTGGAGATGCTACTACCGGCCGAATAACGTCTAAATCTTTTCTTCAGAAGCTGTTCTCTTGTTTGGTTTGTGATCACTGATAAAGCCTTGGTGTTAATTATTTCTTTTAAAGTTTTTCTCAAATTTATTTCGTATGAATGCAGACTTTTGGTGGATTTTTTTTCTTCTAATCCAATGAAATAAGTTATTTGTTATGTATTTTTGAAGTCCTAATATTGGGTTTTTTGGGTAACAAGCATTGAAATAAATTTAGGATTTTTCAAAAACCCCACTTAAGATCTTTGTGGAACCTACCTTAGATGAGACGTGTCTCGTTGTTGTGTTATTCAAATGTTGTTTAGTAGTCGAAACTTAGAAACCAAAGGAAAATTCTTCTGTAGCAAAATTCACACACGCCTCTCGTGGAACAAGAAAATCAAAGTGTAGTCTGCTAATCCAAGTAAGGCAACAATAAGAAAAGTTCATTCCTTATCCCTCTTTAGTGTGTTGCATCAAGTCCTTTTGAAGTTTTTTATTTTTTTAATGGAAAGAGAATTTATAACAATCCAAAAAAGGTTTTGTAAGGGGACAAACGGGTCATAGAAGCTCGCTCTCAATTCTCTACAGGGACTTATTTAGGGCTATTATTTTATGGTTGTGAGAAACCATGATGAGTAATCTGAAGAGACCCATACAAAACCTCATATTGCTTTAGAATTCGTATGTAAACAAAAGAAAAAGAAACTACCATCTAAATCAAACGAGAAGCCCCACCATAATAGGACCTCTCAGCTTGATACTCACCGATAACAAAACTAGTATTCCTACTTCTCTTCTCTTGCCCTTCTGCAGTAGAAGCAAACTCATCCCTCACCCCTTTTCGCTTCCCTGTTTCACCTGTTGAAGAACTGTCACTACCTCGAACTCCTTTCCCCCGAGCTGAACATTTCCATGACTTCGTGTTCCCTAACTGTCCCTCCACCCCAATCTCATGCATCCCCAGCTCATCCACTTGGTTTGTTAAATTCCCTAGAATCATCCTCACACCGTCACTCCTCCCTTCCAAAACACTGCCCTTTGCACCACCCCTTCTCGCCTCCCACTCCCTCAACTTCCTCACTCGACCTCCAGCAAAATCCCGAAGGTTCAAACCTAAAAGCCCCACACCACAACCAATATCTCACCGGTTCCCATCTCACACCTCTTTCCTCCTAACCCACCCATAACATAACCTGTAACAGCAAATATACCATGTTTAATGAGCACAAATTCGCCCAATTCATAACTTGTTTAAAACCTACTTGTCAAGGAGGAAACCAAACATCAAATTTTTCCCCATGTGAGGAATATATAACACATTCTTCAAAAGAATTGTTCTCTCATACTTGAATTGAATTTGAATTCAACTTTTCCTTGACCAGGCACTTTGATAGTATGAGAATCTGTGATATCCTAGTCTTTATTTGCAATTAGTTAAAGAAAATAGGTCTTAATTTACAATAATTTTAAAGTTTAAGTCTTTCACTTTATTTAGCACTAGGAACAAATATATAATATTTGTTAATTTAGGGATTGCATGTTAATTTAATAAATTGCCATCTTAGTGTTTATTTAAGGAGAATTTAATACCTTTCGGTTGTCAATAACTTGTTAAAAAAATTAATAACTAGTGGTTGGGTGAAAAGTAGGATAAGTGAGGAGCATTTAAGACCCACTTCTCGATTTGACCGGGACTCTTGAGCCATATTATTAAATTGATTATTTTCATATATTTTGCATATAGCTGAATCAAAAGATAAGGAGAAAGACGGCGCAGATAGGATAATTGGCTCCAAAATGTTTAAGGATCATTCTATCATTTTTAAAGTTTAGGAACCATTTTATTCTAAAACTAAAAGTTGAGGGACCGTGATCTGATTTAACCAATAATTGTTGGGGACTACGTACCTGCACATTGATCATTTTTCATCTTCATCATTTGGATTTGTACGAAGATTTCTTCTCATCGACTTGTAGATCTCTAAACTTCCATCGCTTAGGATACATTCTAATCCTTCATCGAAAAAGGGGATCCATTCTAACCCGTCATAACCATGGCCTCTGATCTTAAAGGTGCTGCACCTCTGTTTATGCTTTTGCTATTTACTAATGAATTTTGTCGTTCTTGTCTGAATTTGTCTTCCTTTCAGTTATGTTTTTTTAGTTTCTGTAAGAGTCATTGGTTCCTGTTGAAATTAATGCTATTTCTCTGTTCTTTGTAACAGGAAAAGCTATTGTGCTTATGGGTGTCTGTGGCTCCGGAAAATCGTAAGCTTTTTATCCTCTTTTTTGACTTGTCCATTGCGCTTTGAACTTTGAAGCATTTAACATAAACCCAACATCCTTTCCTCAAGATTTTGCTTTTGATTCATTATCAGTCAACAGTTATTATTATTAATTTTTTTGACCCTTCTGTTTCCTTTGCTTACAATTTTTTGAAAATGGGTCCGTTGTATTACAGTCCACATTATAAAACACTTTTTCTCGAAAACAGATTATTGTTATGATTATTGTAGAACTGCATATATATGTATACCGAAATTTATAATTTTCATTAATCCTTTGATAAGTGAGTTGTGTTAAGCTTGATCCATTCATACCATGTGATTATGGTTAGTAAATGGCTACTGACCTTGTCTGATTGGAATTTATAATGAAATGCTTTATTAATTTTAGCATCAAGTTTCCACCTTTTAATGGCAAAAGAAGAAAACATTAAGCTTCAGAATTCCAAAAGATAGTTGTTATGCATATGGAAGTCATAATTTGCTTGACAGGCTCTTCAATTGATTGCTGGACCAACATCAAATTATTTTGAAGTTGAAATTTAGCATAGAAGATAGAAAGATGCCAACCAAAGAATTTTTTGAATACTGATTTTTCAATGAAAACTTTCTTAGTTGTGTCCCATACACTTTCCATCCTTCTTTATTCCTGTGCTTTGTCTATCATAAATCATGGGATTCCTTTGCCTGGTATTAGTTACTATTGTTACTCTTTGTTAGGAAAAGAGGAGTCTGCTTGCCTATCCAATTAAGTTTTTGTATTATGTGAGTATAATGGGTACTCCGATACAACCACTTTTACATTCCATCTAACATTCCAGCTACCATATAATCCCTCCCTAATTGTACGAAATATTCCCATAAACATAGCCTGACATTGTGCCTAAATCTCTACCAGACAAAAACACAACCAAGTGAGTCTTAACAAAATATCAGGACTAGTTTTCCACCAGAATTCAGCAACACTAAGTATGGATATATTTCCTGCCATCAATCAACAGAAAAAGATATGAATTGAAGAAGTGCACCTCCATTGGTAGATGTTTCTTTTATTACTCATTTTCTTTCTCTGTACATTCATGTTATCTACTTCATCTCACCATGCTATCCTTGGTTGATCTCTCCAGTTTTCAAAGGTTAGGTCCTACCCTTCCTTCCTTGGTATTAACCATCCAAAAGCCCTTATTTTAGTTAAATCTAATACCTTTTCTGGTGTATCCACAGCTTCTTCAAACAAACTTTGATTTCTCTGCAGCCACAGCGATCATACCAATGCAAACCAAACAACCCTCTAGACCTCTTCACCTTTGTTATTAAGTTTCTGTCCTTCATGCTGCAACAATTGTTCGTTACAATTATTGTAGAAAACAAAGGTGATACGCCACCAATTATAACATTCAGACCAGATTTCTAGGCAAAACTGCAACCAAAAAATAAATATTTTGCATCCTCCTCGTGCTGTCTACATAGGCCACACATAATAGAGTCCTTATCATTCAGACACCCCATTTTTCAGATTCAACTTTGTCAGCTGATCATTTAAAATCTTCCATCTTAGTGCAGCCACTTTCAAAGGAATGTTCTTATTCCAAATATTCTTATATAGATATTCATCTTGTTGACTAACTTCGTCATTTAGCTTGGCACATGCTGATTTTACTATGTAGATCCCATGCCTTTCACCTTTCCATACCCACGAATCTTCCTTTTCATTGCTAATGGCACTTTCCACCATTTCTCTTTCGTCCTGCAGTACCTCCTCCACTGCCATTTTCAATTTCAAACTCCTTCCCTCCACTCTCCTATTTCACCAAACGTTACATTCATATCTTATCCAAAGAAATACTATATAACCTAGGGAAACTCTTCTTGAAGGCCTCTCCCCCACC